AAACATGTAATCGACGATCGGTACCACTTGAGGCCAATATGGTTTCATTATGATGAGACCATTGAACCTAAACCATCATTATCACTAATTATATTTTGAGATTAATCGTCACTTCTAGATTATACATACTTGAAATATTTCATCCTTATGAGATTCAAATGTATGGAGTTTCAATTTCAAATTACGTAAATCCCATAGTGCAACAGTCTAAGACAAAAGTAAGGATTTATATATAGTAATAAAGAAAGTATGAAAACTTAAAAATGTATATACTTTATCTGCACTGCCCGTGGCTAATATAAATTCAGAATACGGATTGAATGATAAACAATTCACTTCCGCTACATGAGCGTCGACCGTATGAGTAGCTTTGGAATGATTTGACGTACGAGTATCCCAACTAAAATACATGTCATAAACATTTATTTAATAATAAGATAAAAAATAACATTAGATAATTACTTTAAAAATGTGATTACTTAGGAAGGTGACGACCATTCACAAAGATAACATGATTTTTTTCTTTCGTTTTTTTGGCATGACTGAATACAGCTCATCGAGTTATCTAGAAAAAACTTAGTTTTAGATTCCAGTTTTAGATTTTGGTCTAAAAATCCTTAAAAGATTAGAGTTATTCAAGAATTTTGAATTATATATCATTCAACTCAGTTTTTTATGTTAATTTTAATTATGGTGTTGGTTTTACAACTGATGGTGAAAACTGCAAAATACGAGTGCATATCCTTACTTTCTACCATCGATATAAAAAAAAACTCTTTTTTCAGCAACGAAACATAATTTTTCACAACTGATACTTAACTTTCTTCCCATAAGTATGACGATCAGAATCAAGTCAAAGAAATCATTTTATCTTCTAATCCTGATAAATAAATAGGTTTTGAAGACGTACAGGGACACTTTTACAGTTATGTTCGTGTTAAGCAGATCCTCAGCTCATTTTAGCTTCTAAAAATGCTAAAGTTAATTGTTGATACTCAGTTTTAGAGGGAGAATCAAGACAAAAAAAATATTGCGAATTTTGAAAAAGAATGCATAGAAAAATTTTGCTTGAAACATTTTGAAAAAATTGGAAAATATTTTGAAAATTATTCATTCAAAAATAACTTTTAAAAATCTAAAACTAAGTATCTTCTGGATAACTCAATGAGCTCTATCCAGTCATGCCATGAAAACGAGAAAAAATAATCGTACTATCTTGCCGAATTGTCGGTAACTTAACAAGACATCTGTAAACATGAAAAACTGATTTGTATGTATCTACTGCTCTATATTATACATAACGCTTCCTTGTTGCTTACTTTTAACTTTATCTGGAGCTATACTTACATCATTAATTTACAGTCATCTCCAACTGATCCAAATAGTGTTTCATGAAACAGATGCCATGCAACATCCTTCAAATGATAGAATAAACAACTTATGGAAATTTTGTTCAATATGAGTTAACCAGAATAATTTTACTGATTATACTAAGTTCGCGATTTCTATAAATCAAAAGTTAAGATTCATTGAGTTGAGATTCATTCTACAATGTCTCTATATACTGTTCGTTTTAGAAAAAAAAATATGGATCCAGTCAGTAGGATGCGGCCTCATCCGTCAAAGGAGAACTGCGAACGAGTTTTTTTAAACTTCACAGCCGAGATCAGTTGAGCAGTGACACATAGTCCATTACATTGTCCTAGAGGTTCCGGACTAAGCTTACGAGCATAAGTAGTATGCCAAGTCTGTCATGTGACTGTCATCGTCAGTGCTTGAACATCGTGTCTTTGCTCAAGCCATTTGCTAGTCTAACCATGCTGCTCAAAATGAATTCAAATCGATTTTCTAAGAGATTCTTTTTGAGTGGTAAAGCCAAAAAAGCTAAAATACAAATATATTTGTCTTTTTCATGGTTAAATAGCCTAGAGTGTTCTCTTCAAAACGAAAGTAAGCTTATATTTTCCACCGTTTAGAAGTGATATAAGACTTCTTCTTCTTTCTGGCACTTTTCATAATCTCAAATGACTTTCGATTGGAGCATAGAGAATCAACGATGTTAAGTCTCATTTAAAACTGAGTTAAGCAAAAAAGTTAATTTTATGTTTCGTTGGTAAAGTTTTTTGCAATATCAAACGAAAAATCAAAAGTTTTCCAAACTTTATAGTAACCAAATCATATTTAGCATGTAAACCTTAATATCCTATCAAATTTTTTCAGAGATCTCTTAGCTTTTCAGAAAAACGACTTGCTTGTGAGAAGATGTTCCAAATTTTGCCCTTAATTACGACGACGACCACAACTCTCTAGTCACTTTTTCTCTCAAAAGTTATTTAAAAGCTAATCAACTCTATTCTTCTCCGAAACGACAATAATAACCATATGATCAGCAGAGATCTATAACAAAGAAGCAAAAAGTGTGTGCTCTGTGCTCTCCGTGTCGAATAACACTATTCATCAAATTTCTGACTACCCTAAATGAAAAGAAGCGAAATGTCAAAAATTTAGCAAAAATGCTAAAGACAAAACACAAAAATTCCGTCGTACCTTTTCTACGTTTGGCGAAGACGACAGTTAAGTGAATAGAATTAAGACTTAAACGTATAATATTTGTGATCTCTATGTCTAATTATAGTCTCTGTATTATACGATCATCTTTTTCTTACTTCCACAACTGCTTGATGTCCTTGAAATATTGCTAATGGATCGACTTTATTTGCTTCGGTTGGAGCTTTTTCAATATTCCATAAACATATAGTGTGATCATCTGATGCTGATAGAATATGTGCACTCAAATTTGGATTCCAACTCAAACCGTAACCTTCTTTTGTATGACCGCGCAATCTTAATTCTGGTGTACATTCAGTTGTCGCTGGAATTCCTTCTTGTTGTTGTTGTTGTTTTAATTGTGACGATTTTGTATGATTGAATATTAAAACTTCGGACGATGGTGATTTTGTGGCAATAATTGATGGATTTTGTGGCATAAAACGAGCTCGATTCACTTCACCATCATGATTAATTTTTAATTCAATTTCTATTTTCGCATTAAATAAACCAAAACCACCAAAATCTAGAACACAAAAAGAATAGTGAATAAAACGTTTGTTTTCTTACGATTCAGATCTAATGATTCTAAAATAAGCCTTCATTACATTGTTTTTTACAAAGAGATATTTCATAGAATACGTTAGTAAACTTTTGCTAGTGAATAATTCGAATAAGAAAAAGCCTTTTTGATCATACAACGAACCTCCTCGTTCAACTTCATAATGTGATGCATCAAATGTCGTTCCTTCTTTTGGTATTTGTACTTGTGCTACGACTAAATGATTTTGTTCATCAGATGTGTGTGTACCCAAAATAAGACGATGAACCGTATAATCTTTATCGTCGGGTCTAAAAAATAGAGATACCGATAAGTCACACACAAGAGAAAAATTCATATAGAACATACTTAACAACATTTGGTAACCATTGCACAGTTAATGATGGCCACTCAAGAGCATGTGTCATGATTAAATCGTACAGAAATGGTGTATTCTTTTTCCATATTTTATATTCTTCATTTATTTGTCGTTCTTCATTACTTTCATCGCCTAAATGAAGAGAAACGAAATAGTTTAAGAATTGGAAATAGCAATGAAAAATTTTTTAGTCATACCATCAGTCATTTTTGATAAATTTAACTATTCTACGTTAAAAACAGAGAAACACTAAATAAAATCTGAACAAATGACTTAACAGATCTGAAACAAATAGAGAATAGTGAGCAAATTAGAAAAGCTTTGTGTTTGCATCTGTTATTCATTGATGGTAGTTTTCACGTGTTTATTCATGCCGTAAAATTTTAGACAAGCAGAAATTGTGTATATTATTCTCAAGAGTCTTGTAAAGATACACTCCACATTATTTTTGTAAAAATCGTTTTAATACTTTTCCTCGGTAATAACTATTTTATTTTTCAAACGTTTCGATTCATAGATTGAATCTTCATTAGTAAAAAAATTTAAGAATCAAACTTTCCATCTTTACTGTAAACGTACACAGAGATCTTTTATGTATCTATTGACTAATGAAAATTCAACTTATGAATTGAAACATTTGAAAAATAAAATAGTTATTACCAAGCAAAAGTATTAAAGCAATTTTTACAGATTTATACACCTTCATATCGAAAATTCAATCAGTTATCATTAAAATGACTCCACATCACATCGAGATAGTGAAGTATCGGTTTTCTCAGTAGTAATCAGAGTTGAGCAAGTCAAGTCAAGGCTGACTTGACTTGACTTGACTTGGTCTAAAATTTTCTACGGGTATGACTTAACTTGACTTGAGAAACCTTTTCAAGTCAAATCATTTCTAGTAAGCGATTTTTGTTTGAATTAGACTTTTTCGACCACGAAAGAGTTTCTGTAGCTATAAAAACTCTCTCACAAAAGGTGCTAGCAAATTTTATGTGCTGTCTAATTTTAATCGGATTTGACTTGATTTGGGAGACAACATTTTTCGACCTCGATTTGACTTTACTTGTGTCTTGCAAAACTTCTGACTTTCCCAGCTCTGGTAGTAATCTTATTCATATTGGTTGCTTAAAACTCTTTTCTAAGCTCAGTATGTTCGGAGAAAACATACTGTATACAAGGAAAGACTCAACTAAATTTAAAAATTCGGCCTGGTCACGTAACGGTCCGTTGCGGCGCCTTATAAATCGAGATTTCGTTCGATTACTCTGGAACTTTTTTCTAGTGTGACTTACAATACTATCTGCTAACAGTGAAAAGTACAGAGGGATCGGACGAGATTGTGGTCTGAGGCGCCGTAACAAACGGAAATCTTCGCTTGGCCAAGCCGAATTGGAAAATCGTCAAGGTAATCCTAAAAAAAAGAACAGACATGCAGTCAAAAACTTTTCAATTCTTGAATAGCATTTTTATTATAAAAATATATTGAAAAGCTTTTTATATTATTTTCAAATATCTGCCTGATTTAAGGCTCTACTTTTCTCTCATTTTATACGTAATTAGTGGTTTCATAATGGCAATGACTTTTACAAGTTCAAAATCGACTAAATCCTGAATTATTACATCAATATCTTTATAGCATTGTGGTGCTTCTTCATAGAGCAAATTTTTATCATCACATATGACGTGAGAATTTAAATCTGTTCGCTGTAATTGTTTTGCATTTGGATAACGTTCAGATAATTGTTGACGAGCTTTTGTACGAGACCAAACTCTGCCCGCTCCATGAGCAAGACTATATCCAGAATATTCTTGTTTTTCAACAATTGGTTGAACTAAATAAGAACGTGTTCCACGACTACCTGGAATTACAACACAACCTTGATCACTGGGACATGCACCTTTACGATGTAAATATAAATTTTCACCACCATCTTCGTTAAATCGTTTTAGAACAACATTATTATGCCAAATATCAACAATACATTGATATTCAGCATTATCAACAGTTTCATCTTCATCATCCTCTGTCGAACAACCGAGATAACTTAAAAAACGTTTAGCTATCAATGAACGATTTCTTTTAGCCCATGCACAAGCCGTATCATGTAATTTCATATATCTTCTATATTCATCCGTTTCAACCCTCAATCCTTTAACGGATGAACCACTCGAATATTTTCTTAATATTGCTTCACCTAAACTTCGACTACCCGAATGTACTAATAAATATAAACAATCCATATCAAGACCAAGTTTTGAAAATGCTTCTTTATCTAATACTTGTTCAATTTCTTGTAATTCTGCAAAATGATTTCCTCCACCAATTGTACCCAATTGTTGATTATAAATATCATACTCGTCACTAATATCATTCTCTACACGTTCAACATTTATTCCCATAGGCCACTGTAAATCTTGTTTCAAATATTGATTTATCACATCTTCTCCTAAATTGTCATCTAACCCATTCAATTGTTTAACCCATTTCAATAATTTTTTATCCGTTAAACGACAAGATTTTAAATTTGTTCGAATAAAACTCATACCACAACCGATATCGGTACCAATCAATTCAGGATAGATAAACTCTTCACTAGCCACAACAGAACCGATTGGAGTCGATTGACCAGCATGTAAATCAGGCATACCAATAACATATTTGACTCCTCTGTACAATTTTGCAACATTATTCAGTTGATCAATAGCTGATTGATCAATAAGTGTATCTCTTGCAATAATTCTTACAATGGCTGGATGAGAATTTAATTGCTCAGTTTCTGGTACATGATCTATACTTGTTGCGCCATCAGTAGCACTTGAATTATTAATCGTATATTGATTGCCACTTGTCACAATTATTTTCAAATCATCTGAGAGTAAAGTTGATGCATTAAAAGATGTTAATTCGATACCAGTCGTAGAAATAAATAATCGTCGAGCTTTGACTTTTAATTTTGATGAACATTGTTTTAACAAATCGTCAATATTTTCATTATTTACAATGAGAACTGTTGATTTACCAGACGGTTGTAATATTACTGTTACACGAACTTTTTTCGGCATGCTCATAAATTTTTAATCTAAAAAAATCTAAAATAAAAACAGACGTAAAATCAAGTTGAAAAATTAATGTAAGAGTAGTACTAAAAACAATTTTTAGTGCTTAATATTGAATAAAATATAGTAATGGATTTTATGTCACACATCGCTATTCAAGTTTTTTTAGTTTTATTTAAAACAAAAAATCAAAATGAAAACAGGCTCAATATTGTTTACGTATGACTATGTCTTAAAGTTTTTCAAAAATTCTAACAAAATTATTGTTTATGGAAAAAAATACATAAACAAAAGTTAGAGGTATACGAAAAACCAGCGTAAAAAAAAACATAGAACAACAACAAGATTTCTGAATATTCACTTTGATCTATCTCAAACCACCATGTTGAGGACCAAATCCCGGTGCATCACCTAAAGTATTTCGACCGCCTGTAGCTCCGGGAGTATCTGTTAAATCAAATTTTGGCATTTGCGCATGATCTTTGTTAGGTCTAGAAGAAAAATTTATGTAAAATAAGAACAATAAGAACGTATGGTTACATACTCAGCTAAGGGTCCAGGTGGATCATATTTAGATCCATCACTAAAAAAATCAAATATAATATTACATTAGGTAATTCAATTGTTTTTGCTCAAAATTACAACAGACGATATAGATAAGTAATACATAGTCGCAGTTTGGATACGTAACTAAATATGCAACTTGTCCACTAAAAATATCTTCTATACCAGACTTAGAGAATAAACTTCATTCATATAGAAAATAAAATCAAGCAATTACTGAAGAATAACATTTTTTTCTCATGATTATACTTCTACAATAAATAGTAATTACTAGACACCTACGCATTTTTATTTCTATTTTTATCTTCACCAACTGGAGGAAGTTGCATACCACCTGAAGAGAAAAGATAGATCCGACTTTACACAGAAAGTACAATGCAAGATTTTATCCTCACCCTCTTTTATATTTCCTCCTAATGGATTAATATCACTTCTGCCAATACCAGCAGCCGGATTGTTAATATTTGGTTTTTTACCTAAAAATTTGTAAAATTTAACACGAATGGTAACATTTTTTCAAAAAATTTATAATCCTTTACCATCGGACATTTTTAAAGGAATTGAAATTATCTACAATAAATATCAAGATTCAGTTACATGGCAGAGACATTTTTTCGAGAATGAGAATTGTTCTAGCAATTTAAAAATGATCATTTTAAGTCAGAATGATCATTACTGAATAGAAACTACAAAGATTGGTATTGTCGATCAATATGCTACATTTTGAATATTCTAGATAAACAAAAACAACAACAGCAAAAAAAAAGTACAAAATATATACGAACAAAGAATATAATTGCTGAAATGAAGAAAAATACGTAAAATTTTTGTTTTGATTGTGCTAAGTGTTCACTGTTAATCACTTTCATTGTCTAATTGTACATATCATCTGAACCATGATGAGAAGGACGTAAATGATCGAGATTTGGCTCTTGGAATGGACTTAAATACGAGAAATGCTGTTCATAATAGAATTTTCCAACATTATTCTATAGCTTACTCTGGAGCCATTGGACCGGGTGGAGTATAACGAGCAGTAGGCGGTCTTAATAAAGAATAATACCACCATTATTTCAAAATGATAGATAGATGAAGATATTGTCTAATAGATTACTTTGTCCAGTGTGAAATTTTAAGAATCACTCTTTCGATTAAGGCCCCATAGAACATGGGTCCAAATAGCGCATATACCGTCCGACAGATTTCTCAGAAAACAGCTAGAGAGCTCGGGCTGGTTTTAAAATATAAAATGAAGTTTGAGCCACGGCGTAACAGAGCCGGATTTTTTAATTTTTTCTGTTTCAATTTCTGAAGAATTTCACCTCAAAACATCGAAAAAAGCGCAAAAACTGGTATATAACTTTCAACACTGTAAAATAATGACGGCCTAAATTAAAAATCAGGCTGTTACGTTGTTCCCATATGCCTTAGCTTCAATTTAAGATCAATCCGAGCTCTGTCCGACAGTGTTTATCACGTAGGACAAAGTCGCTTTTGAGATACAGTGGCGTTAGTGTATGACACACATTTTAGAGCTCTTAATAAAACTGTCATAACTTTTCATCAAAGTAGCTCTCGATGCTGGGAGACGTCTTATTTTAGTCAAAAATGTTTACTCTATGAATTGAAGCCACTAGAATTGTTTTTGTTTCCGACATTTCATTGAAATGCCAGAATTTCAGAAAAATCAGGTGTCTTAGGCGTTTAGAAGATCTGTTCAAAATCCCGCAGAAATATTTGATATTGGCACAAATAGTATGAATTCTGAAAGTAGCCACCTTGGGCGCTTCAATCATGTGCTTAGCTCAATATGGACCTTCCATGGAAAAATCTATATTTCTGACCCACGGGAGCCTTAAATTTTCAAAAACAGGCGTCAAATGATAAGGAAACATACTTACCGCGGACCACCCATTAATCCTGGTTGAAATATTCTTGGATCTATGAGCATTCCTAAAAACCTCAAATCGACTTTGAATTAGAATCTAAACAATTATATTGCATAACCACACCTCCTCCCATTCTACTTGAACGTCCAAATGGATCCAAATCTGAATTCCCATATGCACCACCCATTCCTCCAGGCCTAAAAAGTAAGAAACAAATATAAACTGATGATTATTGGAGACCTATTTCAGTTGTAATCGTTTGAAAACAGAAACTCAGCCCATACGCACCACGGTCCACCGAATATATGAGAATTGGGCACATATCTTCTGGCTGCAAGTGGATCAATCAATGGATCAACAATATCTGGCTGTTGTCGTTGTGGTTGATGTCCGCCATACCTTCCACCTTGATTTGTTGACGATAATCCCTGCTGTTGTTGTTGAGATCCGCCTGCTTGCGTTGTTTTTAAATCGACACTTGAGTCTGTTGTACCAGCGCCGCCACCGTTTGTCAACGAATCAATTTTTTCATGAAATTCTTTTTTTAAATCATTTAAATTCTTATAGGCACTAAACAAAACAACTCATAGATAGAAGAAAAGAATAAATAACAACAACTTACGAATGAAATTCCTTATAATTATCGTGTACATGATCATTCACACTAAAACTAACTTCAACATGACGACCTTGTTTATTGCGCTAGAATGAAAGAAAATAAGGAATTAGTAGATGCAGTAGCGTGAAATTTTGAAGTATTGTATTTTGGTTAATGTTGATATAACCATAACTGTAGGATTCAGTTCTCGATTTGTTTAGGCACTTACGAATAAATGTGCAAAGAAAACCCCTTCAACATCGAATAATTTTAAATTGTATCCAGTATCATTTTTTGTATATTCCATTGTAATTGAATTATCTGGATGATTTGTCCAATCTGATGGAAGTAGTTCCGTTTTCTATACAAAAATACGAAATAAATAAGGTTCAATACGCGATAGATAAAATATATATGCGTACTTGATTTCCATTCAAACGCTGAAACCCACGAGAAACTAAACACCAATGGATAAACAGAATCAGTGCATCGTCTTTGGAATCGATTTGATCTTTATTTTTATCGAATAATATTTCAAGAAATGGATAAGACATATAGTCAAATATCTAAAATTGAGGATAATACTGTTCAAATTAAGGATGAAGCGAGCAGAAAAATCTAGAAAACAGTGTTTTTACTGAGAATAGGATCTCACAAGGGAATCTTCGCAAGCGTCCAATCACTTTTTACCTTAAAACACACACAATTGTGAGTAATCTTTGATGCTGATCACGAATCTGATATCCGTTCCTGCTGCTAGGCTTTTCTGTGGTGGGTCTCTGAAATCCGAGTGTCCAAAGATCCGCTATGAACTTCAAGCTGAACATATTTTGGCGCTGCCAGATTGTAGAGTACATTGAATTACTTATGTAGAAAAATGTTCAGAATCGACGAACAAGTTTTCGCAGAGATAGAAAAATTTTAGGGTTCAAAACCTGAAATATTTTGGTTCCGCTACTGGATTAGAGTAGTAAAATTTTAAAAAGTAAACTTTGTGTATGTTTTAAGGAAAAAAACGGTTGGACACTTAGGAAAGTTCGCTCGTCAGTAAAACGTTAGCTGCGTGTCGTTTGAAACGACCGGAGCCGTTTGAAAGAGCAAATCTAAGAATAATTCATGACTTTTAACAAAAATCATTACAATAGGGATGATATTTCACAACAAATGCATATTATTGTGTCTACCTCTAATACACAAAGGATCATAGTGCCTACTCTTTAATTGGTTGACAAAGTGGCCACCTAAAATTGCGATGAATATGCCTACCGTGATCAGTTTACGAACTGTACGTGACTTATAGTCGTTTAAGTAGACCTGATCGGGTTTAATTTATAATTGTAAAAAATTACTATGTTCGCAAAACGCGAAGGATAATGATATGATATGATATAGTGATTATTATTTATTTATGTTGAATAGAATTTTATTGGCTTGTTGTATGATTCGTAAATACATCCCACCCAACTGTTTTGATGTAAACTTTTCGATACGATACAGTACAGTATAGAGTACTAATATAAGGGGGAAAAGAGACACCTTTTCACTTTTTTGTCGTGCCTTTATCATTCCTTGGTCATTTTTTCTCGGAGAAACTTGCTATTATACATGAGGGAAGAGTTCTCTACACATCGATCAAATATAATATGATATCAACAAACGACTTTCAAGATTTTTAAATACGATACACTTAAAATAATTTCGGATTATTGCGACTATCTGTTGCAGTTTTCAGTTAATTCTTGTTGCATTCGCTAGAGGAGATTCTGGCCGATGACATGGATAAAACGTTTTATTACAACAGTTTGACTACAATTAGCCTAATTAATTATTAAATTGATTTAACTCATAAAATATGTTCAAATTTACATCATCTGTAATACGAATCCAATATCTAAACTTACACAGTGGATCAGTGAGCTAGTTTTCACATAAATTAAAGAGTTCAGCATTCTAAATAGATTTGCCATTTGGTATAGTATCCAACTCGACTTCTGAGAGACGGTAGAGGTCTGTCCCTGAAACTCCATGTATTCCAATGGACTGTCTCTTTTTCCTAAATACATAAAAAGAAGAAACGACAGTCGAAATAGGTAATAGTTGTGAAGCTTCTTTGTACACTAAGTTTCAGTTGTTTTTCAAATGTTTTTCCAACATTCGTCACCACATCAGACTTTACCGACGTTAATTACCACCGTTCGTTCAATTTTAAAACTGCTCATCTGGTAGATGGAATTCATAATGCTGGAGTTTTCAGAATCTTATGCTATGTCCTAAAGTGTCAAGACCGTGCTGTAATCCCATTTTAAATAAAACAGTTGAAATATTTAAATATATATAAAAGAATATGTTTATCTTTTGAGTTTATATGATCTATAGATGTATAGTTTTCCTGTCATCTTTCACTCTACGATCAGCACAATACGCGAGGCACTTTTCGAAAACGAATTACTCCTATCTTATTCCAATTACATACGGAAATGTAGGTACTTTGTGTAGTAACGAATAAAACGAGGCGGCTCAGCAGAATGCTTATCACATTTGAACGACAAGTGATAGAGACATGCGGTTTTCACTGCTGGATACAGAACATCGGCGGACGTAAGCGTGTGCAAAAAACTAGGCTTCCAGGTAAGTTTTACCATGGTAAGCCTTTCGATGCAAAGTCTACGAGATGGCCGTTTCTGGACCATACGATGGATTTTGATTTTCAAACAGTGCAATCGATAGCTCGAACCGAGATCTACAATTCTAGACCAGTCTTAACTCTTTATCTCTTACTGAAAGTTCTTTTATTGTTGATGAGGACAACCCGATCGAATCTTTTTAGTTCCGGTGATTTTCGTGGATCGGACGCCCGACCGAATCTGGAGACAGGAGTCTGCTCAATTCCTTCACGTTCCGATACTTGGTTCCTGGAGGATCCGGAGATCGGATCCGACATACGGAACCAGTCGGATCCATTAACTTCCGGTGAGCGGAAATTGACGGATCCTGTGATGTGCACTTTACTTTTTTCTTTCTTTCCTGTGCCCATAATATATTCACCGTTTTGTTTCACGACTTAAATACGACACTATAGAAAATGAAAACTGAGAAGTTGCTCTTCTCAAATTCTTAACGGTATGGATCGTCGCTCACACTGTTCAACTGACGTGTTGTACATGTCCTAGCTAGTGGGGCCTTCCACTTTCTCGAATAAACATAGAGAAGAAATTTACTAGAAAATGAAAGAAAAAATTTAAGACTATTTTTAATCTCAAAACTGGTCACATTCTGCCACATCCAGCAAAATCAGATTCATCGGTCGGAAGATGTCGGATCCGATTGGATCTTTTCCAACATCTTCCGGCACGGATTCTGAGAAACGAATATCCGCCATGGTTGCTGCCGGATTTTACAAAATTCTGACAACTTCCGGCATGTTCCGATGTTGGATCCGGCAGGTTCCTTCAGGATCCTGACTCCGGAATCAACGATCTGAGAAGTGACACCACTTTCTCGATCGAGCTAGAATCGTATACAAGTAGGAAGCGAGAAAGTGGGAGTAAAAGGACGACCTTGTTAGTGAACTGGTCGCAAGGCATGGAAGTTCGTTTATTGTCAATGAAAACAAGTGACGCCACTTTCTCGGTGAAGCTAGAGGCGAATAGACCTACGAAGTGAGAGTGCGGAAGAGAAAGCGGGAGCAGAACGCCGGCGTTGTGAATGAACTAGTTCCATCACCTGACGGTTCATTTATTGTCGATGAGGACAAGTACCACCACTGTTTCGCTCAAGCTAGAATCACGTGGAACTATGACGTGAAAGTGCGGAAGAGAAAGCTGAAGTTGAATGACGACGTTGTGAATGAAGGGGTCCCAAGATCTGAAGGGTGGTTTATTGTCTGTGAGAAGTGACGCCTCTTTCTGGTTCAAGCTAGAATCGTATATAAGTAGGAAGTGAGAGTGCGGGAGAGAAAGTGGACGTAACCTCGTCCACTTTTCAACACAAGCATAATCTTCAAATGATATAGACCACTGCTCATAACTCGAAAATTAAAATTGAAAAGTGACAAATCACAGACAAAAATTCATGCTTAAAACTAGAAAAAGATTCAAAAATGGATTGCACATCAAAATAGGAACATTTTATATCATACAAATATTTTTAGATAGAGAAAAAAGAGGTTCTCTTTCCATGTCCATAATTGCAGTACCATTAAAGCAAAAATCATCTATGATAAACACCTAGATACATTTTGTCTGTAATCGGGCGATACACGACTAGTTGTCATCTGGATTACTAGTTGGAAAAGGGACTTTTAACTAGATGCGTGTTCATGTACAACTAGCAATAGTCAAATCGAGCGATTATCGAGTGATAAATCGATAGTTGCATTGAGGAGAAATCTAGCAATTGCCCGATTACTAGATTTCCACTGTCGTTACTAAATAATTGCGACTGAGTAAAAATCTGTTAATCTAGATGAATCGGGCGATAACAGATTTTTTTTCTGCTTGCGCAACTACTTTCGACTATAATTTTCAAGCCAACTCCTGAGAATTTATGTAGCTTCTCTTCAACTACAAATTAGGAGCTTGACTCGAAATGAACGAAACGCAAGAATGATCAATTTCTCTGTTTCTCGTGACAGCTACTTATCTCAGAAAAATGTTAATTACCTACGCTTATGATTTATCTAATCTTCAGTCGAAATACGTAATAACTGCGGGACTCTTTCTACACTAGGCTTTTAATACTTTTTTAAGTGTTTTTCGAACATTAGTCACCACATAAGCCTTTACCGACGTTAATTACATATCACCAGATCGAAAAATTTTAAAAACTTGTTCGGTCAAAACCGATTGCAGATTCGTCTTCTCCATGGTTGATTATGCGGTACGCGATAACTTCTGGAACGGGGTACTTTAGAAAAAATTTTCGACATCGTTTTGCCTTTTTTGAGCAAGACCATGGGAAAATTTTTTGCGTACCGCATAATCAACCGTGGAGAAAACGAATCTGCAATCGGTTTCGACCGAACAAGCTTTTGAAATTTTTCGATCCGGTGATATGTCACCGTTCAGTCAGCTAAAAAAACTTCTCAACCGGCAGATGAGACCATAATGCTGGAGTTTTCAGAACCTGATGCGTTCTCCTTAAGCACAAACATCAAGCTGTTATTTCATTTTGAATAAAACAGATAAAAAACATAAATTTATGAAAAAGAATATATTTATCTTTTAAGTTCATGTGGTCAATACTTTTTCAGTTATATTTCGCTGTACGATCATTCGTATATGCAAGGCACTCCATCAAAAACAGATGGCCCAGCAACATTCTCGAACAACTTGCCCATCCACAATATCTCGAACTTCCGACAACATAAACACATAAGCATCTACATTGTCGCTTGTCAACAGCGATCCGGCAAAAACAAAGACATATTTATTAGACTAGACCAGCCGCTGCAATGTACCTCTTACGCTATTCAGCAGCAACTAAAAACCATTTACAGATATGGTTCACTGAAACGGTTCACTGCAACGCATAAACTTCAATCTCACTACATGCGCACCTATCACTATTAAAAAACGTCTTAATCCCGTAACCGAGCGAATCCACGTACACTCGAGGAAAACCACTATAAACCACACATTTCTCCTTAGGAAGATCAGCATCAAGATAAGGATCAAGATCAAGACATGAAAGTTCGTTTACTGAGGACAAAGACAAGTGACGCCACATTCTCGATCAAACTCGAAACACACAGAAGTAGAAAGTGACGTCACTTGTCTTTGTCGACAGTAAACGAACTTTCATGTCTTGATGATCCTCTTCGAGCAAGACCAAGAAGACCACCAAGAAGAAGAAGAAGAAGATCAAGAAGATCAAGAAGAAGAAGATCAAGAAGATCAAGAAGAAGAAGAAGAAGAAGAGCATCAAGAAGAGCATCATCAAGAAGAAGATCAAGAAGATCAAGAAGAAGAAGAAGAAGAAGAGCATCAAGAGCATCAAGAAGAAGAAGAAGAAGAGCATCAAGAAGAAGAAGAAGAAGAAGAGCAAGAGCATCAAGAAGAAGAGCATCAGGAGATGAAAGTTCGTTTTTTGTCGACAAAGACAAGTGACGCCACATTCTCGATGAATCGCTCGAAACGTATAGAAGTAGAAAGTGACATTGCCGAAGAGAAAGTGGTATGAGGAGGGTAGGGTTATAAGGGAATCGCACAAACCGAACGTTGGTCCCATATTGGGAGAGTGGGTAATTGCTTTGTGTTGGTGTTTTTTGTCGATATGAAAGTTTGTAGCTGGTAGGTGGTGTGGATTGGTCAACATGAAGAGAAATGCTTTTGAATCGGCTTTAACAGCCTTTTTTGAGCTCCATGGAATACTTGTGTAGCCTCCGAAAAGGTAACCGCCTTGCTCGCTTTGAAAGACGGTGATTGTTGGTCCTTTTCCGTCACGTGCTTGATGGAAATGAGTTGACGCGGAGCCGTCTCGTGTTTGTTTGTAGATCGAGACCCATCGTTGATTTGGGTTGCCGTAGAATTCATTTAGTTTCATTTGATGTGCTTTGTCGTGCAGTAGTGTTCCATCCAGGAACAGCTGCGGTTGTGATCCATGCAAGAGCGGTGAAATCGATTGAGCAATCGGTATGCCATTTATTTCGATGAGTTTTGTGAAATCGACTGTTCTGTTCAGCTTCAGCTGAATTCTTCTTCTGATGCTGTCCGATGTTTGTTGCTGCTGTAGTTGCTCTTCTAATTCTATCAGTTGTTGTTTC